CCTTCTTATGCTCTCATTTAAAATACACAAGCTTAGGAAATTATTTGCCCTTATTGGCAATGACTTAATGACATATAGCTTCTTGATTTAGGTTGAAGATTATGCGCAGAGAAAAGGCGAGTCTTTGGAAGTTGTGGAAAAATGGCTGAAGCCCTACCTCAGCTACGAATCTGACGTTGGTTAAGGTTCTTAACTGCGGAAGAACTCATCAAATCTCCGTTTCTAGCTGCTTTAAACGGCCAAAAAGTTGATTAAAGCCTAAAAGCTTGTTTTCTCCAAAATAGTGTCTGAGCACATACGTTTTATTGTTCGCTGTTGTCTTTCAGTTTTTGAGCTGAAATTTCACTGGCTTTATTTCAAACCAGTTTCACCTTCAAAACTGCGGGGTTAGTATACTGCGCGTCTCGGTCAGTCGCATTTCAACATAATTGTAGGTTTTGGGCAGCAAGCACTAAGAATCATTTACAAGTGAAAACCTTGAACTAGACGAGATCCTTTCACTGCCGCATTCGTGTTTTACGGCAGCTCTAATCTAGCATGCGGATAATAATTTCTTACGAACATTTTGAATAGAATGCGCAAGAATGATTATACTGATGCTGCGGATGATCAGGCAGATTCAAAGCAATAAAAGTATGAGATAATATGAAATTCAGATGAATGGTCAGGAAGTCAAAAAATTCTACCTGTTACTTTACTCAAGCTCTTTCGATCAAACAGTGTCTTTGGTACCTGTATGAAATGGGGAACCTTGGAATGTTATTATAAACATGGAGTCGCAACCAGTGTTTTTTCTCGGAAACTGTGCATCATACACGTAGCTGCGGTTTGAGTAGCGGATTTTTTAATTGACTGATTCTCTCGGCAGGTGCTAATTGTTCCATGCTGATTTTTAATTTGATTCATGCAAATTTAATTTGTACAGTCGGTGCAGCGTTAATCTTAGAACGAGAGGTCCTGGGTTTGGGACTCTGTCAGGTACAGAACTGCCATAAAATGCGTAATAAGCCTTGCCAGTTTTCCTTGCGATGGTTTGTCGAATATACATACTGTAGTAGAGCTTGCGATCTTCCTGTATCCCATCCAGAACCCCACTGACATACCCCAATTGGCCCAGATGCAACATCGATGAATACCACAGAGGTAGGCCCAGATGCAGTAATTGATACTGCCTTTTAGAAATGCTTGAACGCTGGGAGTGCGGCAAATATCAGTCAGCGGAGGCAATTTCAGGTAGTGCGACCACATGAAGATCACGACAAACGCACACCTTTGTCGTGTTAGCTTACCGACCATTTCTAGACAGTAGCAGTTCAGGGGCACACTCTGCAAGAACTGGCCCTACCACATGATTCCGTACTTTTGGACACCGAAGTAGGATTAAAAATAGTATGGTATTGGAACGGTTGTTGATCAGTGAGTAACACTGAAAACCGTCTGCTGTTAACAACAGAGGTTTCCGGTGTTCTCCAAAAGCGCTCTTCAGTGCCTACAGGTAGCTTAGCCCGGTAGTCGCAGGCGAAACTCATAATTCAGCAGCAACCAATTTAAGCGTGTATATTATTCGCACAGCAAGTGACATCAGTGGGTATACAATAACGGGGGTTAAGAATTTGTTACATGACTATTTGTTCACTCTCCGTTGTAACGACTGTTTCAGCGAAGCAGAGACAGTCAGATGAGTGTTGATTATTACCATTTGCGTAAGTAAACCTGTTAATCTGTCGATTTTTCTGGCTTGATTTAGAACATCTATGGACTCCCATGTGCGGTGGAAAAAGCTGTCTAAGTGATTTAAGTGTTTGTCATTATAGACTTATTATTTTATTTCAATTTCGAGATGTAATTTTCGTCGCTGTCTCTCATAAACTTAACCTCCTGATCCTCATGATATTGCTGTTATCGAATTTTATGTCGACTCGCTCGTCGGTCGGATTACCAAAGGCAGCACAGGCTGCTGAAGACGGCGAAAAATTGGAGACCAGAGCCTGCTTCAATTCTTCTGGCAGCTGGTGGCATAGCAGCACGGCGATGACTGCCGAAGATCGACAGGAGGACGACGAAGAGACCAATGAGCAACGAAGCCGCTACTCTTTTTGACAGGAGGAAGCACACAGCGTGAGGCAATTATTGTATGTCAGATATGGTTCCACAGGAACGATACCGAAATTGGGAGCTTATGGATGGATAAAGCAGAATCTACTTGAGAAGGGCGCCAGGTGCGGACGTGACTTGGATTATCGTCAACGAATTTTCAACCTCTGTGGGCGGAAGCTCTTCTACGCAGGTGTCGGCCATCCGCCAGTTCTTAACTCTAAGGCCTGCTCTCAGGCTTGTATCGGCGTCCTGGTACAATCCAACTAGTCTGACATAATCATTGATTAGATGCCTGTCAGCGAAAGAGTGGCAATCATTCGGCTGAAGTTACATCAGGCTAAAGCTTTGACCTTGTTACGGGCGGGTCTACGAGCCCAATTCGGAGAGAAGATATGAGTCCTTTTTGAAGGAAGTAATAGGTGTTCTGTGTGTAGTGCGGAGTGCGGAATTTCATATTTAAATGGACGATTTGAATGCGCATGTAGGAGCAGACGCTGAAAGCTTCTGCCAGCTTTAACAGGATTTAAAAGCGGTTTACAGCAGTCGCCAACGAATGCTATAGTTGAAAATGGAGCTGGCCGCTGCTTAGAGATCAGAAACGAACTTCCTGGTGGATACGCAAACTTCCTTCTGTGTCTTTGAGAGTAAAAGGCTGCATTCAAGAAGTTGCTTGGAAACGAAGCGTCTTTAACTCGAATGCATTAGGACGAAGCCCACAAGCACGGCCTGAAGAGAAGTTTCAAAAAATGAGCTACTCTGAAACAGTCTAAAGACCGTCATAGCTCTAAAGCGAGAAGAGCCATTCTACACCTAGACGTGCACCCGTTCAGGTCAAAATTGAATATCGTCGAGGATAGACATGTGGTACAATGAATGACATTTTCCATGATAATAGCGTACGATACGATGCACAAATTTGAGCAAGGCGATAGTATGTCTTTCTGTGCATGGGTGGCAGTTAAAGTGTAATGAATGATGTTCTGTCTATACCGTTTCTTGATGTGAATTGTCTGATGTCGTTGGAACCTCCCTTCATTGAAGCCTTTGAATAATTCTCGTTGGATCGGAAGATGGCATGCAGATTCGTCTCATGATGAACCACTACCCATGTTTCGCTCAATAACTTACGAGCCTTCAGCAGGATTGAAAGTTGTTGGATGTTTCCGTTTGTCATTGGAAACAGTCATCGACAAACAAATGTGACATTTTAACGGGTAGAGCCACGTTTCTGTGCATGCTGTTGCTTTAATACGCAAGGAACGCCATCATAGATGTTGACACTTCTTTTGTACGTCGGGCTGCCATCTAACATTCCAGCTACCACAGTTGTATTAATATTTTGTCGGTACGTCTGCTGTAATTTTATTGTTGTTACAGTAACTCTATTTTATTATGGTTCTGTTGTTGTTTAATTCATATACAGTGTTGTAAAACGAGTTTTTTTGTCATATCGTTCAAGCAATAAACGTTCTATTTTAACTTCAACTAATAGTTTTCTGTTGACTAGCGTGATGAAACTCATTCGATCCGCTCAGAGTTTTTCTTGTTTTTACGGATGACGTTGCCCTGTCGTTACATTTGATGAAAAGTATTTCTTTGAATATACTCTTCGGTCCGTCTCCTTCGTTGGAAATGGAGGTGCGCTCTGGCAGCTCGGAGAAGGCGTATTATTCCTGTCTTGTTTATCGAACGATTCTGAATTATTTTCATAGATAAGCTTGCCATGGCGGTTGGGTGAGGAATCTGACGTATAGTAGCTAATCATAGTTCAGCGTGTAAGCTGGAAAATCACTCGAGCAGCTTCTGAGGTCTTGCATATTTTTTCAAACCGCCGATTAGTTCATAGAGGGACTTAGTTTGATTATCGGCCTTAGGTGAGTTATGCAATATTCATATACTCGAATAGTACGCACATCTGCTATGCCATGCTTTTATGCTATCAGCAGAGATGCACTTCTTTCGCGGCAGGTTGAAACCACGTTCGTCTACGGTAGGGTACTGAAAGCTGTTCGCGTGTTTCTGTGCGAAACACTTCACGAATAATAGATTATACGACGTAATTATTATTTATAAGTATCTAGTGACTAATTGCAAGTTTAAATTCTACCGGAAACAGGTTGATAAACACTGACCACGAAAAATATAATGTTGAATCAGGTAAGAGCGACATGATGAGAGTCAGTGTTTACTCATGGACAGCTTTTGAGACTAAACTGTTTAAGGTTGGGGTTAGAATGACAGTATATATATGTACGAATAGCATCATGAAAGAAAATATCACATCAATCAAATTTTACCGATACCGATGACACTGGCAGTGGTGAGGGTGATGATAATGCTGGGAATGATGCTAATGGTTAAATGCGGACCATATTTTGAGATAGCTTTCGTGTCAGATCAACGGTAAAAGTTTGTTTTTACGAACCCGACTCAACTTTTAATTGTTTTCGGAGAACATGTTTCGTTGCTTCGGTTTCGGAACGCAGAGTCGCTTCAAAAGAATAGGGGACAAACTTCACATCGCTGCCTTCAGTACTCCACTTTCTGTGACACTTTGACATGCATCGACGTCCATTTTTTATGATCAACCGCCTCGCAGAGCTGCGTGCTAAAAAACGTCAATGTCGACAAAGCTTTCATGCCCAGAGTTTCTTGTCGCCTGACCGTTGTGACGTTTACACAGCGTCGTCGATACTTTTCGCTAATATAGCGTCAGTATAAACCGGTA